TTCACGGATCAATTTTTCATTTTATTCGCTAGTGTTCCAGTCCCAAAGCTAATCAAAACAAAATATAGTACACTCCAGATTTAGCATTTTCCTCAATCAATTATTCACCAGACTACTGCGTTTCAAAAACTGAAATTCTAAAGGTAAGTAAATGTAATTTTCACTCTCTGAAGTGGGCTGATAGTATTTCCCAAAATAAAATAATAATAAGCTTTTGTGAATAATCCGCTAGAAATGTAAAGATCTATATCCTGTTAAAAGAGAAATTAAAAATATAATCTGCTTTGTCACAACTGCTAACAAAATTTTTCGAAACTATGTATTTTACCAAATACATATTGGCGTTCAAATACCTATAAACTGGTTTTAAAACTAGTAATTTAAAAAAAATTTTCATAATAAATTTGTTATTTTCAACTTCAACTGATATTCTAGTTCAATATTCGAAAAATGTAGGCTACTTCACTTTAATACACGACAGTAGAATTATTTTTTTTTAATGGATTAAAATAAGGTCTAAATTTTCCGTACATTGAATTAGAACTTCAAAAAGTTGAAAATAACAGTTATTTTAAGAAATTCTGTCAAAATACCAGATTTTAAAATCCGTCGCTTTTAAAATGCCTAGAGGTTTTTTAAAAAGTAGCTAGATTGTCAAATCTCTGTTGCATCTAACTAACAAAAAAGTTCGAATAATATGATTTAGCTCGAAATAGTTTGCAAAAAATGTGACAAACTGATAAATAGAAAGTGGAAACCAATTTTGTCGGTGGTTTCAAAACATATGTGCAATAATCCAAAGTAGAATTTATTAGCTGGGTTCAACTTCTGCTAAATATGCTTCTCAATAAAATTTAATTATCTGGCACGCTCTTCGGACGGAAAATAGAAATCCAAAATTTGTTTAAATAATAGTAGAAGGAATAGAAGGCGGTGCCAGGGCCATTTGTTCCCGAAGGGACCGACACATACAAGTTAAAGGCGGCCACTAGTTTCTTCGGATATCCCGAATCTTCATTTACCTAATCGAAGTCCGTTTGGACCGCTTGTCGTAAGGACATTTTCAATCGCAGAGGACAGGCACGTTCCCTAATTTCTATTCAAATTCCACAGATGACCAAAGAAACATTCAGGATATTAGTTGGAGTTAAGAAGAAAGTATATTTGGATCCTCATTCGACTGACACACTTCCACCGAGTTTATATTTAAGTACCTACTGTTTTTCTTATAGGTGAAAATTTGTTCTACTTGCTTTTTATTTTGGAATATTCAGCGTAATAATAACAAATAAAAGTATAGTTTACAAAACAAAAACTCATATATTTTGTTTCAAAATATATAAAAAAAATTATTTATTGAAGAAGCAGTAATCATTTATTTATTTATAACGTGCAGTATTAAAATAAATGTATACTACATATACACATGGTGATCAATCATAAGTGATTTCCCACACTAATACTAACTCACTTCTTATAAAACTTAAAAAAAAATTAAATATAAAAGTTGTACAGTCCGTACAATATTTGTTGAGATATAATGACAAGAAAATTATGATAACTAACAATTTAGCGGGACAGAGGCGCGCCTTGAAATTTTCTGCGGAATTATAAAATTTAAAGTCTGTTGTAAAGAGAATTGTAAGAGCTTTCAAAAGAAATATTACTCAACCCTCAATGTCATTTAAATATTTTGGGGTGATGCTTACCCTTGCTTGGGGGTGAAAGTGGTGGAGTCAAAAATACCAGCAAAGAATGTCCCCCTTTAATCTAAAATCGACGGGTCTGAGCGTTTTTCTACAATCTTGACGCAGTTCCTGAAAATGACTCTGTTTCGTTTTCATTTGGCCACCCTGTATATTAAATTCATTTTTAAAACAACTAAAGATAAACTTTCTGACTTTATTATAATGCCCCATTTCACGTGTATACTTATTTAAGCTGATACAATAGTTTCTTCTTGTCTTCAACATCAGAAACATCATATGCATTTGATACAATAGTTTGTAGGTTTGTTTTTAATTTGCGAGGTAAATATTCAATATTGTAGTCATGTGAATATCGTGATTCCTACTTAATTACAAGGATTTTGTATTTGAGTACTTTTTGAATGTTGTATTCAGGGTTCAAGTAATCATGGATACTTCTTTCAACAAGTATTCAATATTCATGAACTGAATACTTTTTCTATATTCATAATCCACAAGCGTATCCATACAAATCCCTACTAAGAGGGTATGTTAAAAGTCACATGTTAGTAGGACATTTTATTTTAAACATAATATATTTTAAACAAAACGTATCATATTTTAAATAACAAACCTCAGTTATTGCTCTAATGAAAAATAATTATTGACTTTAAAAAACGTACTATTCGCTTACGACATACCACACTCAATTACACCTTTCAAAAACGGTTATTTGGACAAAAATTAGTCCATGGGCTGCCGACCGCTGAAACGAGATGCAATATTTCCGATTTTTATGACTCTTTTTATACATATAAACTTCTTTTTGAATGCATTGATGCCAGTCTCCGTAGCTTTTGTCTTCTCGAATATGTTTCATGACATTTTCATTGAAGTGAAAAAGTTTTCTCGAATAAAAACTCTCAAGGGTCCAAACGCATCACAGAAATCTCAAGAGTAGATGAGGAAGAACTTGCGTTGAACCAAATTAGAATTTGTACCAATACAATTATGTATGCAAGTTATTATTTGTTACGTTGTCTTGAAATTTACATTTGAAAATCAGTCTTATTTAAACTAACAAATTTATGACTTCCAATCATATACTTATTCAACATTTTTTATATTTAATTAAAAATACAATTTTTTATGCTTTATGAAATACGTTAAATGCACAATTTATTTCGCATATTACTGAATATTTGAATATATCTGCATTAAAAAGGATTTTCAATAAAATATGTGGATATTTATATAGACATGTTTATACTTATTTCTTTCTCTAGTGGTGTTATAGACACAGTTACTAAATATAGTAAAGTTTAAATGCACTATCAGTGACATCTTGTAGTTAGTAGCAGATGTGCAAAAGATTGAAGTTACATCTAGGTACAAAGGCTTTTCGGAAACTGTGATCGTATTAATCCGATCAGTGGGATCATCTTGCTCGAAAAGTGAACCAGTTGTGTTTAAAAAAAGTTAATCAATTCTATGTATAGACTTCTACTGCTCGTGCTATACATTCGGAAACATTGTCAGGAGTCAGACACTCCCGCTTCCTTAAAATGCAAAAACAATAGTGTATTTATTTAATCTCAAATTATAGTTTCCAAAAACCATACAGTAAAAATTATTTTTTGTTAATAAATTTTTCAATAATTCATACATTTTAATACAAAACAGAAAAATTATGAGTTGAAATAACATGTGCTGCCATCTGTTTATAAAAAACAAGGGCTATACCTGTGCATCTGTGAATGCACTATATCTGTACAGATAACTCCTTTCTTACAGACAGCAGTATATCTTTTTTTTTATAAAGATATTTTCCATTTGAATAATTTTGATGAGAAACATTGATTTTTTACTGAGGTTTGGAATTATAAGATGATTTCTACACGTTCGTTACTGACTAGCTATGGCCAATGTTTTAAAAAACTATATAACTAAACTATACTGTTCGTTCACACGGTACGGATTCGGTTGTTTTATGGAAACGATAAAAATATCGAACGAAAATATTAAAATAATGGCCTCAATTCAATACAATTTAACTACCGTTTCGTATAAATATCGTGCTATATAATGACGAGTTAGTTCTGGACCATATCTCCTAGATGGCAGTAACCAAAATATGTTTAAAATACTTTGGATAGTTTTCGTATTCTTTGAGTGTGTTGTGTTCCCTATTGTTATTTGTATGTTATGTACGTACAAACTGTCTTAATCAATGGCTGTCCGAAATATTTTACACAATGATCCCCGCATCTAGAAGACGTAGTATAGAATTAGAATTACTGTGGGCTCTTTAATTATACTTTTATAAACAATGCTAAGACGCAACATTTAATCAACAAAATTTAATGACTGAAAATATAACACTACATACGGAAATGCACTAGCACAAGCTCATCTAGGTATTTAACACACAAAATTATAACTTAGGTCAACCCTTAATTGCAGAGAAAATTGCAAAACCGTTATATTCATACACTTCATTACTGCTAACACTAACAGTACCTACTAATAGTAATAGAATCTCTAACGGTATGTACCTACTTCTTATAAAAATATCTAATAAAAAAATAAAGATAAAAAACCAATGGAACATAACAATATGACGGACGAAAAATTTTAGTGCCAAGATCTATGATGAAATATTCAGTTTTAATTTGTATCCTTACAATTTTGTTCCTAATACACAAATTGATTATATGATAATTTAAATAAATTATAAATAATTGCATATTTTATATTTCAAGATAGATATGAAGAGAACAAATACCTATATAACTGCTTAATTAAATCAGCAATTTAAAATAAAACAATTCATAGACTACCTATTGTCATTTTCATAGAATTGAATCAAAATCTAAAATAAAATTTTATCATGCATTAGGTAGGTGTATCTCAAAAAGCAATGTTTTTAAATATTTATTTAATCGTTAATGACCAAAGTTGATTAAGAAATCTTTAATTAGCCTTATAACAAATTAGATAAAGTTAATTATGTAGATATTTATTTGATGTTTCAATTTATATCCGATAATACTTTCGAAGTAATGAAAAAACTGTCAATTTGGAATTCGAATAAATAAAAAATCAGAAAAGTATTTTTTTCTAAATTTAAAGTAATTATAATTAAGTTAAAATTTATTACATAAACAACTAATGGAGTAATTGAGATTTCCGAGTTAATTAAATTTAACAATTAGTATTCATTTTTTCATTAGGACAAATGATCACTTTTAGTTATTTTTAGAATTGATGTTGGTGCTTCAGCGAGTGACAAACAAAACAACGTCAAAATGTTTCAAGCACAACATTCATTTCCATTAGAACATCATTCAGAAACAAACTATATAACTAATCATTATACAATGGAAGCTTCTTACTGTTTATGTGGTCGACCCTACGATCCAAATATTTTTATGATACAGTGCGACGCTTGCAAAGATTGGTTCCATAGCAGGTAAATAAACAAACTATAGTTTTTGCAATATTGCTAAGTAGGCTCTTCTGTATCTCATAAAACCAATGTTTATAATCTTTATTGTAGCTGCTGTAATTTTCAAGAATACTTGGCCATTGAAATAGATAAATATCATTGCCCGAGATGTGTTCCAACATTCGGCCCGTCCATAAGTAAGACTATCCAGCTAGTTTATAAAAGTATGGTACTCTAATAAATCTCTTATTTTATTTTTCAGATAAGCCAATTCGAAATTGGCATCGTCATGAATTTTGGGACGAGAATGCATTAAATAAATCGGTACAGACAGGTACTGCAGTTTTTATCAGAGAATTATGTGCTAGACATTTTGCACCGGAAGGAGAAGTTGTTGTACATATGCGTGGACAACAACTTACAGAAACCTTTTTAAAAACGCATGGATTTAATAACCCAGTTGTCATAGATAATAAAGATGGATTAGAAATGACTTTGCCACCAGATAATTTTAGTCTCTACGATGTAGAATCTTATGTTGGCGGAGATAAAGAAATTGATGTAATTGATGTGTGTCGTCAAACTAATATAAAAATGAAATTACGTGAGTTCGTCGAATATTTTAATAGTTTAAATCGTACACGAGTGTTTAACGTTGTTAGCTTAGAGTTCTCAAATACAGGGTATGTATAAAAATTACTTAATAGTGAAAAAATAATATTGATATATTATTACAGATTAGCAAATTTAGTCGAAGCTCCATTTATAGCACGAAAATTAGATTGGGTTAACACTGTTTGGCCACCTGATTATGCAGGAAAGCCGCAGGTTCAAAAATATTGTTTAATGAGTGTAAAAGATTCTTACACAGATTTTCATATCGATTTTGGTGGTACGAGCGTTTGGTATCATGTTCTAAGGGGAGAAAAAATATTTTATTTTATTAAACCTACTCCAGCCAATCTTACTCTTTATTCACAATGGATGACATCTTCTAATCAAAGCGAAACTTTTTTTGGGGATCAGGTTGGTTAACATAACCTCAAAAGTTATTTTTGTAATGAGAATAAGTATTGAATGTTAATTTTCATTATGATGGAATCAGTTCAGTACAATTTGTTAGTTGTTATCTCAAGCATGAATTAATATACATTTTAGGTTGACCAATGTTTTAAATGTGTTATACGACAAGGTCAAACAATGCTCATCCCAACAGGTTGGATCCACGCTGTTTATACACCGGTTGATTCCCTTGTTTTTGGTGGAAATTTTCTTCATAGTCTTAATATAGCCATGCAGTTGAGGTAAGTGTGCTGTTAAAATTTGTAAGTAGTTTTTAATAAGGACAAAATTTTTAGTTGTTACGAAATTGAGAAAAAGACTAAAACTGAGAAAAAATATCTTTATCCTAATTTTGAAATGATCAATTGGTTTGCTGGTGCCTATTTACTTGAACAAATAATTGAAATTAACCTTGAAGAAAGTAGATGTCCGGAAAATTTGTTGATAGGATTAAAAGCTCTTCATCATTCTTTGAAACACTGGAACAATGAGAAAGACGTAAGTGTTGACAGCAGTTTTAATTAAAAATCGACTGTATATATATTTTTTGGTAGTATAATATGGCAGTAAGAGAACAAATGCCGTTTACACTGAACGTACCCAAACTGCTTAAAGATATTGGTAAAGAAATACGTCATGCTGAAAGATATATAAACCATTTGAATCCTCCAAAACCTGAACGGGAGTCAAAGCGAAAAAGAAAAAAGCCGGTAAATAAAGATTTTGTTGATTATTCTCTTTCTCCAAAAACAGCTGCAATTGACGTAAGTATTAGTTAATCCTCACATTTATTGACTAATTTATGTAAACACTTATTTTAGTACATGCCAGTACATGAACCGCCATTAACAGTGAAGTACCCTCGACAATCACCGCTTAAATTGACCCTTCCAAAACCTGCGTTATATCCCTACGAAAGAACAAGTAATTTCTCAGAACAAGGCTCAGCGAGTTCTACTATACCCCATAACAATATCGAACACCAGTGGGGTTTACCAGTTATACCTTTTGATCGCCCCCAAGAAACTGTTGCCATACACCGTGGTGGAGCTGTTCTCAAGTTTAAATTGGGGTAAACATTTCAACAATATTTGTGAAAATAAATTGTATTTAATTTTATGTTTTAGGACAAAAGATATAATACCACAAAATGTAACAAATTCAACACCTGTCAACGAGTTCAACTTTGGTGATGGATTAATAGGAAGTTCAGAGGACATATATGATTTTCATGACGATAGTGATAGAGACGAAGACTGTTTTAATTTTACAATAGATGAAACTCCACCGAAAAAACAAAGAAAGTCTGGTATCAAAATGCGTTTACCAGGTAAACTTGTCCAATATTGTAATTGTATTTCAATTAACAAAATATTTTACAGTAAAAACAAAATTATCCCGTTTGGAAGAGGGAGAAGGATCAAATGGAATAGAATCTCTAATACAAGCTTCAGCCTTATCTGTGCCGTAAGTATTATTTTCTTTAAGTTTTGATGACCTAGTGACGCATTCCCAATATTTTTTTCTAAGTGCCGAAAAGCTATTAAGTTATTGCTTTATTTTTGCTCTATACACTACTAGGTGCTGCGATATGAATGTCACATGGCACGTTATTGCAACTTCAGTGTCTCACAATATGTCAAGCAAATTTTTTTAGGAGGCCTATGGAAGGCGGAACATCTCCTTCTACTCAAGAAGCTATAGCTGGTATGCTCTCTATCAGCCAAACTTGGCAACCTGGCAAGACTCAGCGAAGAAAATACAGTCACAGTCCTGTAGAGGAGAATGTTAATAATGTCCATCAAGATGACGATTACAGTAAGATATTTTTTATTATAAAAGTTGAATATCTCTGGAAACTAATTATACTTGTTTTAGTTTACCCATCCTTAGACAATTCTGATGATGAAGACGTACATATTTTCAAGCCAAGAGGTAGATCCAAAGTCGATGAAGCTTGGAATCCAAAAGCAAGAGTTGGACCTTTGCTACCAAAAATGAATCGCCCTGCTCGCGAGGGTACGAAAAAACAGTGTGTTGAAAAAGTACTTGAAGCTGCAGCAGCTCGAAGAGTCAACGATTCACCAGAAAAAGTATGTCGTAGTTTATAGAGATGTGAAATATTAAAATTCATTTTATTTTCCGTTGAGTAAAAACAATAAATAAATATCTAAGTACACTGAGATTATCATTGGCAATAGCCATAAAGTCCTATCAGGAAGGGAATGACATATTTAAATTGCTTTTATAGACATTGTAAAAGAAAGATAAGACATAGTTCCGTTAACAAGCAATAATTACTGTATTTTATTATAAAGTAAATACTTTGATAATATTGCAATAAATTAAGTGCATTTTCTCAATGGATAAAGTACAAGACCTTATCAAAGTCATCAACTTGAAACTAATTAATATAAATTCACATGGATTTTAGTCCCCAAAGAGGCAGTACCGTCGTAAGAAAATTAAACCAAAGTTAGAGCTAAGAAGCCCATCGACCAGTGCTACTTCTATACCTAGTACCTCTACTACCCACACAACTGCCATTAATGCAAGTAGTAGTGGAAACCCACCAAAACCTCGAAAGGGTATGAAGACTGTAAAACAACGATTAGGTAAAATCTTAAAAATTCATAAAATGATACATTAATATATTGAATGTTCTATCATATAATTTATTGTTGTTTATTATCTTTGAAATCTCAGTATTCTTATTCTTTTATTTTATTATTTTATATTTTTATTTTATTTCGTAACATTCCGTTTCTTAATATTTGAAATGCAACGAAATTATTTTTTTATTATTTTTCAAGGTATAAAATATAAAGGTTATAAATCATGATTAAAAAAAAACTGTTATTTTATCAGTGCATTATTTTTATCATTTTATTTTAATGTTTTATATTTAAAAATGGATTTATTTTGGTTTAATAGCCAATTAGTTTTCAGCAATATTTGACATTATAGGCGTTATTGTGGTAAACAATCATGAAAAGATGTTCACTTACATTAATGTTGTATTTAACAAATGCTTGATTTTAAGCAAAATAAGACTGAAAATTGTTAGAGAATATGTAAAACGGTTTATTAACTGTAATTACATTATTAACTGTTTCAATATACTGAACATTTTTATGAAAAATATTTATTTACTCCTTCAAATTGTGTTGATATGAATTTTATTGAATTGTATATTTATTCAATACATTAGCAGCTGTATTTATACGGGTAGTATGTATTTGAAGAATTTGAAATGTATAAAATCTATCTGAACATATACTTCTACATTTGCTTGGTTGAATACTTGCAGTGCCAGTTTAAGTTTTACCTCTTAGTGATGAGACAAACTATGTAAGTTATTTTAATTACATTTGAAGAAATTCAATTTAAAAAAATATTTTGCCATATATAAGTTGTAATATTTTTTGTACCTGACATAGTAATTTAGTTTTTAGTTAAATATTAATAGAAATGTATAAAAATAAAAAACAATAACGTAGATTTAGGTTAGATAAACGATTTAAAAACTGTAAGGACATTAGACAAGGAATTAATGACGCTCATATTAGAACACGAGTGTAAATTCAAAGGTGTAAAAAAATATTTCGTCTCGAATGTTTCAAATTTGGTTTATATTTAATAATATTGGCTGTTCTTCTTTCCTAATCTAATGTGACAATGCCAGAGCAAATATAAAATGCAGACGATTTTGTTATGCCCTTCTTATATTTAAGGATTCCTTTAGAGGTCTTAAATTTGGCACTGATTGAAATTTGTTTAGCCCAATATATTTTATACCTTATTTATCAGGCAGATCCTTCAGTAAACTCAATTTTAGTTAAAAATTTTCAAACCCACGTGAGATGGATAATGCTTGATGGTGTAATATATGTATATTCAAAATTTAGGGTATTGTAATCAGGGAAATTTAAATTTAACTCTATTTTGTTAAATGTACATAAAAATTGTTCATTTCTGTGATCTTGCAAAATCAAATTTTGCATTTAGTGTAATTTGTAATTAATTTGTTAATTATATAAGATGTAAATTAATAATTATATTGTTTTGACTGTGTATTCACCGTTTTACTATTATATTTGAGTTTATAATTAATTAGTTATTTTAATATATAATCAATGTGAATATGTCAGTACAAACACTTTGTCATTAAAGATCAGTTTGTTCCTTAATTATATGTTTTCACATATTGTCCTGTGAATTCACAAATCACCGAGATAGTATGTTAGAGTTTTCACAAAAATTAAATTTATATAAAATAAAAAGTATGCATTGCAATTTCTTGTTTTGTTTTCAACATTTGAAATTTCCACAACTAAAAATTATTTATATGAAACCGGTAGGTATTTTACAGTACATATGTATTAATATGTAGATTGTTTTCAAGCCATGGGATTTCCCAGTAGCTCTTATTTTGAAACTAGTATTTGAAGTATTTTTACTGCCAATCACATCATCACTTTTAATATACAGGGTGTGCCATTTAACACTCCCACTGCCAATAACTCCGAAATGAAGAAATTTATTTTAGTTCCGGAAATTGGAGTTGTTAGGTCCTTCGAATAGCTTTAAATTGTAGTTAGAACTGTTAGTTCATACCTTTCTGTATAGATGGCATGGCGACACTAAAAATTTTTTTGATCCCGGGAACGTGGAAATGCAGTCCATCTGAAAGATTGTTAAATTTTGAATAATTTTTATAATATGAAGTTTTTCCCTATATTTACTTGTTTTCGTGATATGTCAACTTCAATATGCAATGTATGATGTAACAGGAAAATCTATTATTTTATCTAAATCACACTGACAGTAGCGGCTCGTGACATTGAGAATATGTGAAACATATTCATTGATTGACTAAAAAGAAAAAAAACCGTAGTTACGACAACCTTGCGTGACGTTCCCAAAATGATTAAATCCCTTCTTATTCCACACGCCTTACTTCACACCCACAATTATACACGGCATACAGAAAAGTTTTTATTCCGAATACCATTCATTCCGAAACTTCCGAACGTACACGTCTTTTGACTTCCCCTTTTTTCCATATCGAGAGAATAAAGCACAGGTCTCTCGCAATTTAAAAAATCCTTTTTGTCCTCAATTTTCCATCTGGAAAATGGCGTTTGCAATAAAATACATACTGGATCATACACAGGAAACATTACAATTATTATACAAAACAAATATTAACTAAGAACCGTTATAATCGTGCACTGGGCGACGCGTATCGTATAAACTGTTAAAGGTAGGCGATGGGCGATGCACGATGCTGCTTCAATTTCTGCGTCACTCGTTCCCCCATGACGTAGTTTAATCCCATGTTGGCCGCGTCGTTGCCATGACAACCACTGTAAACAACGCTACGAAGAGAAGCAGAATATAGACCGTTTCAATCTGCGTCAATTGCGTATACTATACGTTGTATGGGCGCAAATGCGGCCTGCCTAATAATAATATACCGCCTGCTCTCCCGCACAAGTCTCCGACTTATGGGTAATTCTCGTTGTTAGAATGAGTAGAGATATAATAATAATTATTATTATTAAGTTAATGTTCGCGCTCAACGAAGGCAATGTTCTTTTAGAAAGCGTTCAACGCGCCACTATTCCGTTTATTTCTGTGTATTAAACAAACAAACACAATACATTTTCAATATAGAATTATACCTAAATTATAAAATTTATATAAAATTAAAAATAATTTTAGGTGAAGCGGTGCATCACTTGCATCACCTGACGAGCCGCCACTGCACACTGAGACAAAATATTCTTTTAAAATATTGTTATAATGACTATTCACGCCACATACTAAATGACAAACAATAAACTATAAAAAAACAAATGATCAACTACAGAAAACAAATTGTACAATGGTAAATCTAAATTGTAATTATTGGAAAACTAATATGTGTCATCCGTCATTGTTTCATTTTAAACAAATGTCATGAGCCACCTATGACTACAATTTTAATTACATTTGATAAAATACGGTTCGTCTCTGCCACTTATAAGATTTATTACCATTGTACAATTTTTGTTTCTGTAGTTGATCATTCGTTTTTTTTATAATTTATTGTTTGTTAGTTAGTATGTGATGTGAATAAAGCCATTATAACAATATTTTAAAAGAATATTTTGTCTCGGTGTAATTTAAATAACATAATAGATTTTCCTTTTACATGATACATTGTATATTCAAGTCGACATATCTAGAAAACAAGTAAATATAGGGAAAAACTTTATATTACATAAATTACTCAAAATCTATCAGATGGACTGCATTTCTACGTTCCAGGGGTTAACAAATTTTTTAGTAGCGCCACGCCATCTATACAGAAAGATTTGAACTAACAGTTCTAACTACAATTTGAAGCTATTCGAGGGACCTAACAACCTCAATTTCCGTACCTAAAATAAATTTCTTCATTTCCGAGATATTGGTAGCGGGAGTGTTAAATGGCACACCCTGTAGAGCTGCTTGAAAATTTTGAATAAACAAAACTAAGAAATAAAATATATTAAAATTTATTATATATTTTTTAAACAAAACTGAAATCTTTCTTGGTCTCCAACAGATTAAAATAACAGGATAAAACAACATATCACATATATTTTGGCCGTTATTTATAACGATTTATATTGTAGAATGATACACCATAAATTCTTGATGATACTCTACAACGATACTATTAGACATCATATCATAACTCGTTCGATTATGAGGAAATATGTAAAATGCCACGCACAGTGGTAGCAATAAACCAACAAACAGATTTTTCATGGCGGCTCTCGTCAATGATTTCTGCCAACCTAAAGGAGCTGCGCCGGTTGCTGATATCGTTTCTGTCATTCTGCCTGGAACTGGAGACATATTTTCTACTGTTATCACCATTAAACCCATATATCTTTTACCCGGTGTTGCAAAAAATTTTCCTTTTAAAAAATAAGTCTAAAACGATTTTATGGAAATTTAAATTATTTCAAAATATTTAGTACAAACCTCATATGTACAAACTATTAAACGGTGTAAAAACTCTAAAGTCAGCCATTCAATCGCCATCGGCATGGCTACCTCTGGATTTTCCAGATTTTTTTGGAATGATTCAAATCCATAGAATTCCATATCTCTAAAAAGTTAATTTCATAAATTTTTAAAAATTGAACCTACTGTATTATTTGTAATGAATAATTTTGTTGTCAAAGAGAATGTCCTGAAATGGCTTTAAAAGTAGTTACTTACATTATATCAAAACTTTCTAATAGGATAAAAGTTAAGGCCATTTTTACAAGAAATAAAATAAAAAAATCCATAAGTTCTGCAACCATTCTTTTCCACAGTGGTGGAATAACAAATTCATAAGTACTGGGTCTTTGATTAGTTTGTGAAGAGACAGCTACAAAAAACTATAATAAGCATAATCCCCTTAAAGAATAAATCAATTATACTTGTAGCATAAGGAGGATTAACACCATTTCTATTTGCAGCTGTGTGTCTTTGTCGCAAAATATTTTGTAAACTTTCATTCCATAAATTTGCCTGTGCCAGAGTGGCATTTATATTATTTAGTTGTTGTTGTTGCAACAGCTGTGGATTTACATGATTTCCCTCAGTGTTTACATTATTAAAAGGAAATCCAGAACACGCATTATAATGCGACAACCTTGCTTCATTTAACCACTTTCTTAATTTTTTTAAATATTCTTCACGTTCTTGTTTTAATTTAGCCCATTTTTCATCTTCACTTGCTTCGTTAACTTTGTCGTTATCTTGTGGTATCTGCGCTTCTGCCATAACTACTTATCGCACAAATAAATAACAGATTTCACTTTCACATTTCTTTGACAGTAGGTATTCGTTTTGGTTGCCTTTCGTCTTTCGTCAACCTCGCACCTCACCCCACTTCTTCCAACATAAATAGATAACTCGGATAGTAAATGTCACCGATATAAACAAACGATTAGACACGCTAAAGCTAAAGCTACATCGTCTAGTTGGTTAAGGTGGATATATTCTAAATTTTAATTTTAAACGAATCATCTGAGAACACATTTACTTTTCAGTGAATTATTAATTTTTCAATAGGCGGTCAAAATAGCTTTTTAAATGTGATATCTACATTTTATAGATTTTCAACTCCCCAGCAAAATTATATATTTTAATGTGATGAAACAGAATTTATGTAAATAAACATAACATTGTTTTTATGGATTAAAAACAGAATATTAAGTCACAAGTAAATTTTTATAATAGACAAAACAGTAAAATATAATCGCTTCATAAAATTTTAATAAATTTGTTTGTAATGCGGAGTTCGCAGAACTTCGACTGTGGGGCGCTACACATAATTCAACCAATCATCAAGTTTAACTTCGTGGATAAACTTTGATGCTTGTGAAGCTGACTTAACCATAAGTCAAGATGCGCAAGTGATGCAGAGTACTTCGAAACATTTTAGTTCCTAAATAAGTATCCTTGCAGAGACAACCCAAGGGTTGTCTCTGATCCTTGTTTTTCCTTGCCTCCTCGCGCATCTTTTCCAAAAAAGTTTTATACTCTAGAACTGTACCCACATAATGTGAGGTTAGGATTTCTGAATATGTTTCATGAAGATTATTTGCGCCTATTAATTATTTCATTTGCGGCAATTATTTATACAATAGCTGAAATTTATATTTGGTTGAAATTTATGATTTGGCTCTGGATTTTGGCTTTTGGATATTTGGCTCTGGATTTTGGCTCATAATAAAAATAAAAATTATAAAAATATTAAGTGCTTATGTGTTCTCGGAAATGTTCCAATTATTTATGTTGGAGTATTTAGAGAGTAGAACAGTATAGGTTTGAGGAACAACACTTCAGGAGCTATTTCTAAGATAATTGGAAAGCAGCTTATGATTACAAGTCCTCATGCGTGCGTGGTCACAGATCCGTTGTAACGTTATAACACGTGAACATTAAGATCCAATCCAATAATTGCGCCACTACCCTACCCAACCATACCACACATAAACATGACACCACCCCCGGGGTTTACACAGACGAGCCGGCGAAGCAAGAAGAGCGCTAGAAGAAAGGGCCCTAACCGGCGGGGCCCAGCCAGGACAAAAGGAGGTCCCACAAAGCGCCTACACCGGCCGCATTTGCGGTCGGGGTAGACGACGGATGGGGCCCACCTACGAAGGCTGTCCAGGCCTACACGAGATGAGGCAGGATAAAGAGGGATAATCCCCCTCGATCCCAAATCATTGAGGCCAATTTCTAGCCAT